CCCCCCCTGGACTCTTCCACCTCCCACACTATCACCAGTCCCACCAGCCGTGACCTCAGCATACCCTTCTCCTCAGGTGCTGTTCAGTGCTGACCTGCGCCAACTCCACCATGCTGAGCCACCAGTGAAGCGGAGAAAGGGCTCCAAGGGGCCGGAAGGCTAGGTTGGAGACACTGGACAAAGGAATTCTTCAAATACCTTTCCCCTCCATGCCCCCCATCTCTCCCCCAACCCCACCCAGACTCATGTTGGGAAGGGGACTCCCTAAAACTACCTCAGGGGCCAGCACCCCCAAATCAAGCAGTCAATTTGCACAACAAGGTGGGGTGGGGGCTATTCGAGGAGACAGAGCTATCTTATGTTTTTATCTTCTTCTCTTTATTATAAGAAGGAACAATAAAATAGAAACATTTGTATGGAAAATGCAGTGAGGAGGGGATGGGGCAGGGTAACTCCCCAGTTCAGGGAGGGAAAGCGAGCAGACTGCCCCCAGCCCCTCCTTGCTGAGGATCCTGACCCTAGATCCAGAGCTCTAGAGCTGGGGGGGCAGTGTGGGGGACAGTTCTGGGCCTGGCTCCACGCAGCAGTCTCGACAGCAGCAGCCAGCCGCTGGCCCTATGTGGGAAGAGACAGCAGAGTTGGCCATAGGGGCAGACCCTCCACTCCAGCCTGCGTGCCACTTTGTGGACCACCCATGCCTTCCACAAGCCCTGGTCCTCACCCCCAGCTGCTGGTGTCAGCAGCTCCCCGTGGCTTGCCGTCTGTCCCTGCCCCTCCTGGCTGGTACCCAGCTGCAGCTTCCGCATGTGTCGCACCACGGCCGTGGCATTGAAGGCTTGCTGTGGGAGAGAGGGGACAAGGTACTTCTGAGAGAGGGAGGTCACAGGGCAGGGGCTGGCAGTGGGATTCTTACAATGGTTCTGGTATTTTCATTCAGGTGTTATTTATTGATTCTTCTAAAAACCCCCAAACCTTTACAAGGCTTTATTAAACTATATTCAGTTGGGCTGGCCAGTTAGCTCACTTGGTTAGAGCATGGTGCTGATAACACTAAAGTCAAGGGCTTGGATACCCTTACTAGCCAGCCACCAAAAACCAAAAACCAAAATTATATTCAGTCATGTTACATATTTATACACACACACGCACATATATAAAATGTATATATATAAGCAAACTATATAACTCTATATAATTAATTCATATTCACATGTAATAGCAAACACTATACAAGGTACCCCTCAAGGGTACTTCAAAAGTTCATGGAAAGATTTGTGTTATCTTTCCATTCTATTTTTCCACAAACTTTTTAAAGTACCGTCATATAGCATTATGTGTCAGGCACTGTTCTATGCACTTACATAGTAATTCATCTTCACAAAACTCTTTGAGGTAGGCACTCTCAATGTCACAATTTTCAAAGGAGGAAACTGAGGCACAGAAAGGTTAAGTAACTTGCCCCAGGTGTGTGTGTGTGTGTGTGTGTGTCTGTCTGTCTGTCTGTCTGTGTGTATCATTCTCTAGTCAACATGTCCATCTACATACCTACATGTCCCACACACTCCTCAAGTCCACTAAAATCATCCCTCCAAGACATGTTTCTGCCTCTGTGATCACCATCTCA